ATTCTGATTTCTTTTTTTGAGGAAACACCATATGTTTTACTACTCTAATACTTCTTCAAACATAATTATTATGGTGAAATTGATTTCCATCATGATAAGCTCTAATGAGCCTTGTATTGATATTGTAAGGTAAAGTAACTGACTATCACTGGTGAATTTCAAGGAAAGGGTTTGATTTAATAAGGCACTGGATCAAGACATCATATCTCCCCAGTCTTTCATCACCTTTGAGTAAGAAAAAGGTCGGGACTGGGAATGAGTAATCCAACCTAAATTTGTTTTACTACAGCACTTGAACACCTGATGCCAAGCAAAAATAATTACCACTGTTGGAAAGTATTTTTGATATTAACACCAAATATAATAATTATTTACTTTAGGCCCTTCAAATTCACAAAATACTGATGTCAAATCAGCTAGGAAGGCAACACTTCTGTAACTAAAATCTAGTCTCCCACTGCAGCCGATCTGATCACTGTTACAGATGATTTCCAGTCCATACTGCGCACTATCGAAAGTTTGTTTACCTTTTTTGTTTTTCTTTATGTATGACGTCACAAATTGTGAACATTTTGCATTTACTTACATTAAGTAAATTCAAAGTTTCATGTCAACCGCCATTACTAATATGGACGCGAACCTTTATGTTTCGTTCTTTCTCATATCACAAACTGAAACAACTTCGCAACTGTAAAAATCAATGAAGCAGTTGGAAAAGAATTTCAAAGACCTCAAAGATAAGGTATGTGGTTTGTACCAATAACATCAATTCACATTTCATCGAGTGAGATTTATGTTTATAAACATTAGGGTGCTGAGACTGCACAGTGCAGACTGGAAATCATCAATGTGTTCCAAAGATTACATGCAAAATCTAGATTAACAATAAAAAAACAAAGCACTCATTTTGTCTAGTTGTGACTTCTACCAATGTTGCCATCCGCCAGTTGCTTTAGCTTCTGACAGCATTTGACCTGATGTTGTTTTTTACTGATGTACAATGGAATGGATGAGGACAGCTCATCACTGTATGGACAGTGCTTTCCAATCCCAGCGGCAATCCACTTATTAAACGAATGCAGTAATCACTGACAGGACATCACTCCAGGTCTGCTAACCACCTGCCAAACAGAACAGATTCAGTCAGCCGTCTACTCAAAAACATTGCTTATGACCCTGCCTTAAACTAATATGAAGTCCTACCTAATTGACCTTGTTGTTTTCTTATGGTCTCTGTCCCTTTGGCAAGGTATTCGCCATTTTAAGGTGAAAATTATTGTTGCTTACCCTTTGGAATAAACAAATTAAGTGAACCCAACACCAATAAATAGTAACTCAACGCCGACTTTTAAACAAAGTTGATGAAATATATGAAACTGTTGTGCAAACTGGCGATACCTGTATAATCACGTGTACACGCGCGGTCAACTTCAAACTAGTGGCAATTTAACTTATCTACTATAGTCTGTCTTCTACCACGACATACCACGTACCTCATGTTTGCTAACTCTAAGCAGAACTCCTTTCCATTTCTTCACGCATGTATTCAAGGTATTCGAAAGATTTTTCCTTCCCTTTAGTTTGTCTTCGCGATTCTATCTCTGCAACACATACATCCAGAGGATTCATTCCTTTGCTGTTGCGCATCTCTCTCCATTCCAGCGGCTTGAAAAGGGGAAACAGTTTCAGGAAGGAAGTTTTAGAATACGAAAGAACACAGCAATGTAAGGCAGTGTTTCCGTCATGGTCAGCACTTCGAACATCAATGCTTCCTGGCCGTGTCATGAAAGTCGGAACCGATTTTATATTTCCGCTTCTGATCGCCACGGACAAAGCGGACATTCCTGGAACCAATTTCTTGGCTGTTGAGTGGTGCCTGTCAAAATCAAGAGGCAGCTTACAGTTGAGGTCTACTTTTCTTGTAGTGATGAGGTGCTGCATCACATGAGGGCTCATAGAAGGCATGGAGCAGGCTTTTAGGAGGGCGGTGTACCCTTTTTCATCGGATACATTCAACTCAGCAACGGTAAAATCCTTAAGTCTGCTGCAAACCTCATCAGTAGAAAGATCGCTACTTCCTCTTTCCTGAATTTGAGTTTTGGTATACCCCTGAATTTCTTTGTATTCCCGCCAGAGATCCACGATAATTTCCGTGATACGATTGGTTCCTTCCATATATGCGGGGATGTTAAGAGGGACCTTATTTCTGGATCCACCTTTTGAAAACAAAACGTCTTGGCCTTCGCTGGCAGTGCTGACGTTACTGGCATCATCGACATCAGTGCTTTCATCGTCATCAGCTTCAGCAAACAACACGTTGTCCACCGTTGTCATCATCTCGTCATCTTCTGACGCTACTGAGATGCTGCTCGGGCGTCCGTTTTTGTTTTTCGGCGCCTTCTTCATATTTTTCTCTCTTTCTTCTAAACCAGGCTCACTAGTTGACGCTACGCTTCTATTGCTCTCCGTCGTTTCACTTAACGTTTCTTGCCGATGTGCCACTGACGTGGAGTCGTGACCTTTAAAGATCGCATGTTTGCTTTTCTTTTTGTGCTTTGGTCTTTCAGCGAGTGACTCAGTCTTCGATCTTTTGACTTTGCTCTTCCCCTTGCGCATAGTTTCCGCATGTGAGGTTTCAAGAGTGCATCCATTCTCTTTAATGTTCAAAACGGATATGTCTTTTTCCCTTTCTTTTTTGACAGAGACATCGCCCTCTCTGTCATTTTGTGGAATGTATGGACCGTAACTCAGTTGCTCTGCACCAGTAGCGGACATCAAGTCGTCTTGCTGACGGAACCTTTTGCTTGAAACGGAGTCATCAGGTGATTCTTGAAGGGGTCCTTTTAGGCCTATACTCTCACTACTTGTGTTTTGCACACTTTCGGATATGGAACTTCCCTCCATATTTGGCTCGTCTTTGATGTGCACCTGGTTGTTCTTATGGTTGCTTTCCTGTGTGATGGAGGTCAGGACTTCTTCATTAGTTTCCTTGTCTTGTGGGAACGATGCTTCAATCAGAATGTAGCGCAAAGTATGTCTCCTCGGATCAGCAGCAGAGAAAATTGCAAATTGAGCGTTTCTTGCTCTCATTTCGAGGCAGCAGCAAATCAACTTTGGTATGGTGGCTACCGTCACTTGAGGCCATTCTTCAGCTACTTCCTTTGCACTTGTGACGAGCAGAAACTTTTCTTTAGTGCTGCAAAATTTTGCATTCAGATCCAGAATATCCTTAAATCTCCGATTTGCAACAGAATAGGAAAGAATAACAACCGCAGTTCCATCGACAAAAGCTTCCTCCTTTTCCTCGATCTGTTGAACAATTCTTGCAGGAGAGACCGGGTCTTCATTACCCTCTTGTTGGTCATATCCGATGCTTCCCATGAAACATTTTTCAGGGCCCTTGGAGTTGACAAATTTGCGAAGATGTTCCAGGATAATGCCCTCCTCGAAATCTTCAGGTAGTTCTTTAAGCCTTGCATCTGGCCTTTCTTCTAGTGTGCAATCATCTGTCCACTCAAAGATGCTTGGGAGAGCTAAGCTGTCGATCCAGTCATTGTACTGCACTTTGAGAAAATGGTAACGGTTACACTTCACAACCCACAGACCCTCTTTGTCGCAGTCATCATTGAAGCGTAAGTCTTCCCAGCAGGGCCATGGACGGTAGAACACGCCCTTTTCCACTGTGCTCTTGACATTCAGTAGAATAGCAGCGTACACTTGCGTCTTTGAGAACGGGTTCACGGCTCTTGGAGCACTTCTGAGAAGGCCTAGTACGCCATAACTCTCATGCTGCTTGTCGTTAAACAACTTGGCCGGGCCCGTGTAGCGATACAGTGGAAATTGTTGCCCATCCAATGGGTCCTTGAAAGGATAAGGCTCCAAGCTGTGTGGAGGGATGTCTTTACCTTCTGCTATTTTCTGAAGATGAGTGAAGGGTTTCAAAAAGGAGCAACGTTCCATTTTCATCAAACCACGGTCATCTCTTA